GCGCCCCTACTCGGACTCACCTGGTACAGGAAGCTAAGCCTCTGGAAGGCCTCGCGGTCCTTCACCTGCCCCGCCATCCGGGCCCCGCGAACGCCGGGAACACGCTGGTCCCTAGGCCCCGCCCCTCAGATAGGTCCGCCCCGGCGTCAGCGCAAGGCCTCCTGGGAAATGGAGTTCCAGGCCCGAGAGGCACCACCCTGCGGCCTCAGAGATCCATCTGTTTGAATTGCATTCTAAGCCACGGTCCCTTTGTGAGTCCTGGCTTCCTTCTATCTTCAAGCCCGTCACTAGCTATACTCGGTAGAGACTGGAGAGGCTGGTGGAACAGGAGAGAATCTCAAACTGCTATACATTTTCAGGACAGAAGACGGGTCTCTCTGCAGCTAGGTTGGAGGGATGGTTCTGTGCAATTTATAGTCAGATAGACCTTCTGCACTACTCTTTGAAGCCGAAGGTGAGTGCCTGGAAGATGTACAGATAGAAGGCACAGAGGTTATACCACTGGTGCCAGTGGGAGTGAAATTGGAAAGGATCATGAGTGGTGGAGGGGAGGAACAGGGTTCTGGCCCTCAGCACAACTCTCTTCCCCTGAACCCCGCCCACACACGTCCTGTCACACAGTTCTAAACAGACACTAACTCCTAGTCTTAGGTACTGGAGCACAGAGAGATGACAGCATCTCCTGCCCTGAAACCACCCCCACCCCCAACACAGGGAGACATGGACCATAGTTCCTCCCTCTGACCTGCCTCCAATTTGTTCTGTTTGGCATCCTGTTTCACCTCTGCTTCATATTAATGACCAATTCCTGAGGTCAGAGTAGAGAGATGGAGGGGGAGAACATGGATGAACCCTGAGACAGGGAGAGGGCAGCCTAAGTTACAGGAGGGTGAGGCCTCTCTCCCCTCTCAAACCCCATCAGGCTGGGTAGGGGACCAGGCCTCCAGCTCAGATGAAGTGGCTGAAACCTCTTCACAAGTGTTTTACAAGTATCCCCAGACTCAAATGAAAGGAATATGCCTACAATGTAGATGCCCAGGCCCACAGACCTTCATCAGTCACTCGGGATGAGCCCAGGAACATGCATTTTTAACACCCAGTGATTCTAACACATCGGCAGTGGCGGCCATCAAATCACCACACAGCACAGAGATCACGTCAGTGGATCCTTTGTTCCATATTGTTTACCAACCAAAGCATCTTGCCACAAAGAACCACAGTCAAGGCACAAAGGTAAGAGGAGAATCTGGACAGAGTCCTGTTGAGGTGGTTGGAGGAACTGAAATGCCCTCACTAACCTTCTGTGAACCCCATTACCTGAACAGCAGATGGCTCAAGTTGTGTCGATTTGGTCTGGCATGCATCGCTTTACCTCTTTTGACATGTACCCTAAGGATTATTTTGGCCTAACATAAATGACGTACATTCTCTGATGGGGAAATGGCAAACGGTGAGGGATGGCAGCCAACAAGCAAAGACTGGCTCTGGGAACACTAGTTCCAGGCCAGGTGCGCGCAGGCACAAAGAAGCTGCCAATCTGGCCCTTCCCTACACACACCACCCTTTTCTACCCTTTCCTCAGGGTGAGGAAGACTCTATTCCCTCTCTCCTTTTCTGGCTTAGACACTTGATCCAGGTAAGAAAGCTGACAACTTGGGAGTAACTATTTAGTAACATTCCTTAAGGCAAGAGCTTTGGATAGAAATATTGTTCTCTTTCCGCCAATACCGGACTCTCGCCTTCCCAAATTCCCTTGGGAAAGCAGTAAAAGGGCAGACTGTCTTGCAGGATCTCTGGCAACTCATCCCTGAAGAACAAGGTGACCAACTTCTCAGTGACGATCGACTCTAAGGAGGCAGGCAATAAGCCAGCTCTGCTGAAGGCTGAGACAGGAGCCTGGGTCCTCCGCTTCCTCCTTCTCACCCTCTCCTCCCCACGTTGCTACCTCTGGCCAAGCCACCTCATAATGGCAGCCTTACTCTGGGAATAGATGACCAGAGAAACCCCCCTCCTTCATTAGAACCTAGGGGTCTGCTCCTGTAGCCCCTTCCTGGACCTTCTTTCTAACCTCTTGATGCCCAATCTTTGCCTGCAAAAAAATCTTTGCTCTTGTGGGTCCTCAACTCCTAGATCCATGAGAGCAACTGTCATTCATTTTTATTTCAATCTAGAGGTTTACGTGCCTCTATGCTCTTCCTCAAGAAACATAACTATTCTGCGTCAGAGCCTCCTAAAAAATGCACAGGGGCTTCTGTTTCCTCCTCTGGTTTGAGTATGTCATACCCTCCCACAGACTTTTTGCTTCTGGAAAAGCCCCTCCTCCCTTCCCAACCCATCCTGTGCAATAGAAAACCTGATGAGCTTCAGGGGAGAGTCCCTGGGAACCTACTCCCCACCCGACAGGAGGAGACATAGCTGTGCTCTCACCCCAGACCAGTCCTACCTACGCTTCCACATAAACCACTCTAGAAACCCAGGCGCTTCTCCCAGATGGTTCAGGGCGGGAACAGGCAGACGCGAAGCCGCTCCAGCAGGTCACAGGAAGGAAGGCCCATAGCTCTTGATCCTGCCTCATCCCTCCCTGTCACTCCCAATCTGTCGGGGGCCTGATGGTAAGTGGTGCAGCATTCTTCCTTCCAGCCCGGATGCCTGGGTAGAAGAGGGGCCATAGTTTCTCAGTAAAAGTATCAGTGAAGGTGTAGATATGGGAGCGGTCTGTGACATTGTAAAAAGACAGTGTGCCGGCCTCATAGTCTAGGAATATGCCCACCCGCTTGGGTTTCACCTTGATGTGCAAAGGAGTAAAAGGCGTGGTAGTGGCTGCATATTTGTCTCCGTTCCACAGTCGCACCCGCCAGTAGCCAGTCTCAGGCAGTGGGGTCAGCTCGCCCTTTCGGCTCACAGAGTCCCGGCACACACCCACTGCCCAGTGGGTCTTGTCGCCCACCTCCACCTCCCAGTAGTGTCGGCCTGAGGTGAAGCCCTCAGTAGCCAGGACGCAAGGGTAGAAGGTGAAGCGCCGTGGTGTGTCAGGTAGGTCCCGGAGTCTTGTCTCCACAAACTTGACGCTCTTACGATCCTCCGACAGGACTAGGTTAGGATGAGCAGTCTCAGGGTCCAGGGTCACATCCGCTGGCGGGAGAAGCCAGAGTGGGGAGCTAGATGAGGACGGGAATAGCTCAACGCCCCTGCCTCAGTCTTCCAGCCTGCCTTACAGAGCCTGTTCCCTTAAAGGCCCCCAGAACACTGTGGTTTGGTTAACTTTCTCCATCCATGGTGTCACCTAAGGGAGGGGAGGGAATACTGCTTCACGTCTCACCCGCCCTAAAGAAGCAGGTGACTAACTCGCTCTTGCCTTTGCAAGGGCTGGTGGGTTAGGCTCCTCCTGCCTGGTCCTCCATCCACAGCCCCCGACATAATCATCATCTCTCACGGTGCAGAGAAGCACCAGGCACAGTTCAAGGGTCAGAAAGAATGGAAAGCGTATGTGAAGAAGGATACAGAGAAGACACCATTGTCGGGTCTAGGGGCAGGGTGACCTGATACCCATTTTCTTGGAACCGTCCTGGTTTATGACTATTTTCTCTGAGTAAAAATGAATGACATTCCCTTCACTCTCTAGAGTGGACCAATTTTAGGCAAATTATTTAACCTTTCTGGGCCCCTGTTCAGAAAAGCGTGGGCCTAAGATTAGATGACAGCGAGGCTTTTCACTGCGAGTTCTGTGACTCAGAGTGACCGAAAGCCAGGGAAAGGGCTGGGTGTGGGTGTGGGCGGGGAAAGTGACAGACAGGGTAACTGAAGCCCACGTAAAGACTTGCTGCTCTCTGCTGACTCCCTCTGCTCTTTTCCTTTTGGGAACAACTCACCAATTAGCTGTTTAAGGATTTTCCTTAGGGCAAAGTACTGTCGGGGGAAACTGCTGAAGTTCTTTTCAAGCTGTATGGATACTGAAGTCACCTCCATGGTCTTCACCTTTTCACATCTAGGAGGGGCAGGGAGACAGGGGAAGAAAGGGCAGGTCACAGGGAAGCTCCATCCTCCCACCTCCTCCCTCCTCCCTGAGGACAAGCACTTGTGTATTGCTTTCTTTTGCCAATCTGTGGAGAGCCATATGGTCCCCTGGACAAATCCTTAAAATGAGCCTCAGAACTTTCTGGAGGTATTTGTTATATTTCATGCAAATGGGTAATTACCCTTCCCCCTCCCAACCCTTTCCTTCTTCCATCTTGTTTGGACACAATTCTACATCCAGGCACAGGTAGAACCTGGTTCTACATGATTTTGGTAGCTTCCTTAACAAGGAAGTCCTGATGCTCAAAGGGCTACTATTCCCCATGATTTGCTCTCTAACTGGCTTCATGGATGCAATAACCCTTTCCCATATCTGACCCAGAAGCTGCATGACTTTCCCATCTTATTCCCCCAACTCCTTACTGTACTGTAAGTCTCTAAGCCAAGATCTAACTCACTTAAAGAGTTGCAGGAATCACTTACTTTTCCAGGGTACTTTTGACATCCTAGAGGAAAGGAGAAAAGAAAGCAGTATTGGTCCTGGTAGTCAAGGGTCCTACAGGCAAAAGGGTCCCCCTCCTCCCAAAAGTTCCAGATCTCTAAAACAGAAACAGGGCAAACGGAGGCTACAATGCAAGGAGAAGAGCTCCAGAGGGGTCTGAGTACATCTCTCCCAACTTCCTCCTCACTTTCAACTTCTGGTCATCACGAAGCTTGGCAATTTCTATTCCTTCCAAATGGTTTCTTGTATGTTTGTCTTTGCTCCTCAAGGACACTGGGAGCTCAATGCAGGGTGCAGGGATTGTGTCTGCTCTTCACTCTGTCCCCCAAGTACCAACCACAACACCTGTCTCCTTGAGGATCAGTGCAGATAGCTCCAGACTGGTGGTAGAGGAGTAGGTCCTACTTCCCACTATGGGTTGGTATCCCCCGTTTGGTATTGGTTCATAAACACTAATAACTGTGTGCCAATCCTGATTTGCGAATACTTGGGGTCCAGAAGACAAAGAAGACAAATCTCTGCCCCCAGGATTTCCCAGTTTAATGTGGAAGGCAGAACACACATACATGAAAGGACATGAGAATAAACACCAAGGAGTACATCAGCATGCAGATCAATGTGCAACGGCGCCTCGCTG